TAATGACAGGACATGACCCATGTATCCTGATCCCTGGCTAAAGCATCCCCCATCTGACTGTGGGGCTCTGCAGACAGACGGAAGGTGACAAGGGGTACCTGTATGTGTCCTTGTGGGTGACAAAATCAAGCTTGGGTGAGTAGTCAGAGAAGGGCCCCAGGTAGGTCCAGTTAAAACCTTCCAGGTCAGGGTAGGTCTCCACCTTGACTTTGAGGTTGAGGCTCTCACCCACAATAACCTCCTGGAAGAGGTTCTGCTCAGAGGTCAAGTTCAAATAGGCACTCTCTGAAAAGCAACACATGGAGATGTGGCATTAGTGCGAGATGCCTGAGTTCATTTGCTCATTCAGTCATCACCCATAGTAGGTCCCTGAGCACACGCTATCTGCTGGCTCTCCACCTCTAACTCCAAGACTTGCCTCTGCTCTCTCCTCCCACCAGCCATATATCCAAACTCCATTTCCACTCTGGTCAGTAGCCATCTGGAGTCTAGCCTGGACTGTCACAGTGGCCTAACTTGTCTCCTCCTTCTCCCCCTTCCTCCCCACAGATAACCCTTAACAAAGCATCAGAAATCCCTGCTAAATCTTGTCACACCCAAGTCTCATCAGGTCACAGCTGCTTAAACCTTCAACGGCCCCTCATCTCTTTCAAGAGAAAAAGCTCAAACCCTTACATTGGCCTACGACGTCCTGTGGGTCCGACAGCTCCCCACTTTCCTTCTCTGACCTCATCTTGTACCTCTCTCCTCTTGCTTGTTCCACCTCAATCCCACTGGCCATGTTCAAGGAATGTGACATACACAGCCCTGCCTTAAGAATGCTGCTGTTCCCCTGCCTGGAGCTCTCTTGTTCAAAACATCTGCATGAGCCGGGCATGGTGGTACATGCCTGTAATTCCAGCACTCAGACGCTGAGAAGGAGGATCTGAAGTTCAAGGCATGCCTGAATTACATAGTGAGACTCTGTCTCAAACAAACAACAAACCTGCCCCCGCCCCCCAAAACCCCAAACAAACAAAAACAAAACGTCTACATGGCTTGCTCTATCACCAACTGGGAGTGTTTGCCTAAGGTTAGCTTTCCCAGTGAGAGCGTCCTTGGGAACCACCAGGATCTAAATGCAACTCTGCACAACTTGCTTGTGTGTTTTTAACATTTGTTTTGCCCCTTGCTTGTCTTCCCTCAGCTACAGCACAAGCTTCATGTGGGCAGGGATTTTAACATCTGTTTTGCTAGCAGCTGGATCTCGACCAAAAATGTGAACAAACACACACATTTATTGAGTGACTACTGGATAACAGATAAGATTAGAATCCATAACAGGAGGACAGCTTTCTGTGGTTTTGCTCATCATCTCCTTTACCCCTCAAAGCACTCAGAGGGCAGTGACTCATGTTTCTTCTCCCTCCTTCCCCAGACTCCTGTCACACTCAGCATACAGTCATGTCTATGGCTATACCAAACTCAAAGCCAGTTCCCACCCAGAAGAGTTCCCTGTTTGCTTTCGGATTCCCAGGCCAGTGGCTACCACTGCTTCTTGCCCAGTCAGCCTAGTTAGAGACCTGGACAGTGTCCTAGCTCCTCTCATTCTTCATTTTGGCAGCCAGCAAGTCTTGTTGATGAGCCTCCCCTAAATCATTTGGATAAGAATCCTCCACACCCCGCACTGTGGGCCAGCACCTCCAGCCTGAACCTGCCGCTAGGACTGCTCCCAGCTCTGTTCCCCATCCTATTGCTTAGGTGACACCTGGGGCACCTAGGCACTTAAGCACATAGGCTGTGCTAGACCCTCATTTAGTTGTCACAACAAATCTACAAAGCAGTTACTGTTAATTTCCCCTTTTGCAGGCAGGGGAAATTTCCCTGCAGCACGGAGACGTCAGTCAGCTAATAGTGGGCAGACCCATGCTGGACACCACACAGGGTCCCCTCTGTGCAGTCTGAGCCCTCTTTAAAGCATAGTTACTGTCCTCTTTGAACCCTTCGAAGACCTCTCGACAGGGTGAGATGCAAGTTACCCACCCACTTCAAGGTTCCTCTGCCTCTGTGTCCACTCCCGTGGCCACTGCTCGTGCCACACCACATCCCTGCTGCTCTGTTTCTTTTGGCGTCTCAATTCTTCACATAAAAGCCCTCTGCCGGAAATGCTGCCCCCCTCTTTTCTCAGCCCAGATAACCCAGCTTGGAGACCCCTTTCTTCAAGCCGGAGTTGGAGGAAACTTTGTCATTTCCAGGATGTGCTGTGCTCCCCCCACCACCATGATCACACCGTGTGATCGTTGTCTGTTCATGTGACATGAGCCCCCAGCCTTGAAAGAATGAAGGAAAGCCAGCGAACAGATGAGGTGCAGTAGGGAGCGGCTGGGCTCCATTCCCAATGCAGAAACAAAACAGTGCTAGAGCAAGACGTAGTCGTGCTCGGGGGCGAGCACTGCTCCAAGGAGGGAGGGGGCCCCGGCCCAGGATGAAGGCATCTTCCTACCCTCAGCTTTCTCCTCCTCAGACCCCACTGCCTCTCCTCCTCCAGACCGCTGCCAGGCCTCCCACCCACCACACGATGATGCTCACCCACCACCCGGAAGATCATGGAAGAAGAACTGATGCCTTCACTATTGGTGGCCATGCAGGAGTAGTTGCCTGAGTCTTGGAAGGCTACATTTTTCAGGTCAAGTGTCAGGACTTTATGGTAATCATTACCATGGAAGTCTGTTTCTGGAGCAATGTTGAGCTGCAGCCAAAAAGAATGGAGATGATATACTGAGACTGTTTAGGGATTAGAACAAACTGAGGCTGGGGATGTAGCTTAGTGGCAGAGCACTTGCCTAGCATGTGCAAGGCTCTGGGTTCCACCCCCAGCTCCACCAATAGTGAATGAATGAGAATGAAACCAGGCCTGGTGATCCACGCCTGTAATCCCAGAACGCAGGGGGCTGAGGGAGGAGGATCATGGCCAGCCTGGGCTACATAGCAAGACCCTGTATCACAAAACCAAAAACAAACAAACAAACAAAAAAGCCCCAGAACAATCTGAACTCAAATCATCAGCCTTTAAGGTAACTATCTGCCTGTCCTCAGTTTCTCCATCTATAAAATGGGTTTAATACTGGCTCCTAGCCCATAGCAAAAGTAAGTGACATGTGCATACAGAGGGCTCGGGGCTGTGCCTGGCACACTCAGAATGCACATTCCTGGGAATATCCTTCCTTTTCCCCAAAGTCTTTCTGAAATTACCTGTGTATCTCTGGGTTTCCAAGGTAGCCTAGGATTCCCTTGGTAAATCAAAAGTGAGCTCATGTCTGGCTCTTGCCTTCACGCTGGGGCAAAGGTCGTGGGTCAAGGGACTAGAACACTGCCTGCCTCTGCTGCCCCCCTCTAAGATCCAAGATGTAGCAAAAGGCCTGAGTCCTGCTCTGAGTCAGCTACCGACCGGCAGGGAGATCCTGGGTGAGGACCCTCCCTTCTCTGGGTCTGGGCTGTACCTTTAGCCTGGAGAGTCAATTTGGGGTGAGGCTGGGGGCTCTCCCCTGAGGACCTGTGTGCTAGGAGGATGGGCTGATTCCCCACAGGATATGGTGATCCCCAGGACTGACCTGGGTGTTTCCGCGTTTGAGGAAGATAGCATAGTTGAAGTCAGGGTCCTTGGCTTTGCAAATGATCTGGGCAGACTCCCCTCGAATCCGCACCAGCTCTGCGGGCTCCAGTGTCAAGTCCGGGGGCCCTTTGAGGACTAAGACAAAAGACAAGGTCTCTGAGCCCTTAGGCCGGAGGTGTCACTCTGCTCCTTACCACGAGCCAGGGTCCCACATTCTCTCATCTCAAATCCTGGGAGGCAGCCTTGAAGTTTTCCCCGAAGCAAGTCTTATCTCCCAAAGAGATCTTGGAAGGTCCATTTTCTCCACCTTCCTACCTACCCAGTCCCACCACCATTCTCTGCTCTGGGCTTTGGGAGCAGCCACCTCAAAGGCCTCCTGCCTTTCCCTGCCTCCCACCACCTAGACTCCTTGCAGCAGCCCAAGTGACCTCTAAAAACATAAACTAGATGGTGTCCCTCTTCTAAGTAAATATCAAGGGGCTTCCTGTCACTCTCAGACAAAAGCCAAGGTCCATAATACATCTGCAGACCTGCAGTGGGCCACCCTAGCCCCTGCCAGCCTTTGTCCAATGTGCTGTCACACACTGGCCTCCTTGCCACTTCAGGGCCTTGCTCTTGCCTTTCCTCCCCTGCCTTGAAGGGAGGCTGATCTTGTCCTGCGGATACTTGCCACAGAACTCCTCAGAGAGGCCTTGCATGAGCAGCACAGGGGAACTGGCCGCACCGCCGTGCCCCACCCCAGCTCTCTCCAGATGTTCCGCTTGGTTTCTCACTCATCGCATTCATATCTACTTTCTCTCTGGTCTGACTCTCCAGTAGAATGTCTGATCTGGGAAGGCGACATTGCCAGCAGCCACCCAGCACAGTCCCTGACACACAGCAGGCATGGAATTAATCTCTGTGTGGCTTGTGTGTTTAGAAGATGCTTCAAAAAAGGAAGGCAGGAAGGGAGAGAGGAAAGGAGGGAGGGAGGGAAGGAAGGAAGGAAAGAAGGAAGGAAGGAAGGAAGGAAGAAATGGAAAGATGCTCTGGTTCAGAGCAGGAGCAGAGATAGCCTTTGAGTTCAAACCCCAGCCAGTACTGCAAAACAGAACAAAAAGATGCTCCAATCCAGAGACACTGTGGGATTTGAGAAGTTCTCGGCAATGCTCCCCTCCTCCGCGCTTTTTGGTTAACTGCCCTGCATAGTGGTTGCCATAGCACGGCTCATGGAGGCTACTTGCATATGGTCTGAGTGTGTTCCCCGTCCCCACACCGCACCCCGGCATATACCTTGCCTGTCTTGCCCTATAGATGACTGTGAATGATTAATTGGAAGAAAGAAGTGAAATAAGGGCCACATCTGGGGCCTCCTGGCAGCGCTGGCCCAGTCATGGCCTGCCTGCCTTTCAGCTCTCTGTGCCATCCTCCATGCCTGGCCTGTCTCTTTCTGCCCCACTCACCTTTCTTGACTTTGAGCTGGATGCCGACAGTCAGGACCGCCCTGCCATCCACCAGGGCTCTGCACTGGTAATCCCAGCCATCGAGGTACTTGGCTTTGTGGATGATAAAACCGTGCCAGAGTGAAAAGGAGTAGTTGGTGTGACGTGCGACAGACCGGCCACGCACACGCACCAGCGAGACACTCCCCTTCAGCGCAGGGTCAGTGAGCAGGCAGGGCAGCACGGCCTCCTGACCCTCGAGCACTGTCACCTCCTCTGCCAGCAGGTTCCAGGGCCGGGCGGGGTCTGGGGAAGAGGGAGCCACAGGGTTAAAACTGTTCCTTGTCCCTAGACATTGGTGACTGGGAGACTCAGAAGGCTGAGCATCTGTACCCGGGCCATTCGGGGTGGGCTTGTGGAGACAGGTGCCCCTGTGCAACTTGAGGCTGGGTGACACCAGGCAAATGATTCAACCCCCCTGAAAATGAGTGTAACGGCAGAACCCTTCTCACAGGGTTATTGTGAGGGTGCCATTAAACTGCCACAGGTCCGTGCTCACGGCCAGCACTCAGCAATGGCAGCACTGCTGTGTGTGTTAATAAACGGAGCCAGCCTTCCTCCCTGTTATAGTGGGAAGTGCTGGGCTAGGCCTCTGGGAGGAGGCTGAAACCTTACCCTTTTTTTCTGTTTTGGTGGTACTGCAGTTTTGAACTCAGGGCCTCACACTTGCTAGGCAGGCACTCTACCACTTGAACAACTCCGCCAGCCCAAGACTTTACCTTTGACATAGACGTGGATGGTGGCGCTGCCCCCCAAGGGATCTCCAGACTCAGTGCAGCGATAGGTCCCCGTGTGTCTGAAGGTAGCATTTTTTGTAGTCAGGACGCTGCTTGGGGCATCAGGGTCCAGGTTCCAGTGGGGGTTTATGGGTCCATCCCATTCCACACTGCCATTGCTTACACACCGCAGGGTCACCGTTGTCCCTGGCTTCACAACCAGCTCCGGGCCGTTGGGCTCTATTATTGGGACCCCCTGACCTGTTGCGGGGTGGCAAACAGAAGTGAGGTCTGGGGTGCAACCCAGGGCCATCCTCTGACTCTGAGTTGGGTGGTATCCTGGTAGGGAGGCTGCTGATACTGGGGTCACCTTGAACAAGCCTCTCTGGTCATTTGCTTAGTTTCCAACCCAAACCTGCTAGGGATGGGCTCACAGCCCTGGTATCGAGGCGGCCCTCCTCTGAGAATGGGGCTAAGAGCTTCCTTGGCCTCGCACTAAGGCTTCTGCACCCCCCCCAGTACCCCCAGCCTCCTGCCTCAGTCTTCCCTACTATCATCTACCCGCCTACCCACAAAGTGAACTCCAAAGTGCAAAGTGGGCTGTGTCCCCAGCACCGAGCCCAGGGCCTGGCTCAAGGCAATGCTCCAATGAGCAAATGGAGAAACAAATGAATGGATGTCCATGGCCAAGTCCTCTGGCTTCATTCACATGGAGAAGAAGAAAGGGGCGCGGGATCCGAGTTGGGCCCATTTCCACCACTGCACATCTGATCTATGGCACAGTGGAATAGCTCTGTGCCTTGCTTTTGCCTGGGGGCAATGATTGTACTCATTTGTTAGCATGTTAGGTGGTTTAAATGCCTGGAAGCCTTCGGAGCACCACCTGTTTCTAAATACAGGCTCAGTGGGGCTGGGTACAGCAGTTCACGCCTGTAATCACAGCTACTTGGGAGATGGAGATCAGGAGAAACTTGGTTCAAGGTCAGCTGTGGAGGGTGATTCATGGAGACCCCCATCTCAACAAGTAAGTCAGGCATGGTGGTTATAGCAGTAGCACAGGTCTGTGTCCAGCCCTGGGCAAAAAAGCAAGACTATCTGAAAATAACCTAACCACGGGCGGCAAGGCTCAAGTGGTTCCTAGCAAGTACAAGACCCTACATCCAAACCCAAGTGCCAGAAAGGAAGAAGGTGGAAGGAAGGAAGGAAGGAAGGAGAAGAAAGAAAGAGAGATAAAGGAAGAAAGAAGGAAGGAATGAAAGAAAGAAGGAAAGAAATAAAACACTCAATGAGGCTTAGCCTTTAGGTCACCCACCAGCTGCCCATTCTACACCCTGGCCCTTCTGTGTTTACTGTGTAGCCAATGTCTTTTAAGGAAAATTTGCTTGAAGGAGAAAGGAGAACTTGAAACCCTTGTCAGGCCTTCGGGGAAGGGGGCCCGTGGCCTCTGCAGCGTCAGCATTTTGCCAGGGCCTGAAATAGGGGTGAAGAAGGGAAGTGAGAGCTGATTCACGGCCTGCGAGGGGCTGCCAGGCGCCCTGGCCCGCGTGGGCGGAAACACATTGCTGGCTCCTGGCTGGCCCCCAGTTTCCGCTCAGCATGTGGGCCTTCTATCAGGGATGTTCTCACTTCTGCTTCCTGGCCCTCCTGGTCACTGCCCCATCTCCAGAAAGTGAGAGGAGGGCCATCTGAGGGGCCTGGCTCTGCCACTGCCTCTCTGGCTAACCCTCCCTTCTCTTTTGGGTGATGGGGGCACAGCTACGTGCCAGCTCCAAGGGCTTCAGGACTTCACAAGTTCAGGGATCTCCACAAACCCTCCTTCAGTGGGTATCTCCACCCTGCCCTGACTTTGGGCCCGCCCCAGAAGGCTGCAGAGGAGGAGAGAATGGGCAGCTAGCTACTGGCTATCTCTACTCTTCTGTCCTGAGCTACTGCTTCCATTTCTAATGTCCCTTCTGGCCTTGACAGTCTGATATCCAAAAACTTTAACTTTTCAAGGTCACGGGCTATGACCAGAATAGCCCCTAGTTGTAGGTTCTGTGCTTGTTTCTTTTCTGCACCTGCCTCCTTTCACAGGCACTCTCCCTTCCCCTCCCCCAGCCTGCTCCTCTAACTCCTGCCCTGGCCTCCTGGAAATGTGGTCAGGAAGAGGCGTCAGTCTTGTTTAGTCCTATCCTATTGTCCTGGACACTCACAGGACAGGGCTGACACCCTTCACTTCCACTGCCAACTTCCCCTACTGGCTTAGCAGGCAGGATGGGGAGCCTGCTCAGCCCTTGTCTTCCCTGAGCTCAGGGGCTTGGTGACAACTGATTCCTTTGTGCTTGCCCATTCTTTACCTCTCATCTCAGCTCCTAACCTTCCCCTCTTCCCACTTGCCTGATAGAAGCCTCCCTCATCAGCTCCAGGAGGTGACACACACACTGCAGCCCAGGGGGACACACTCAATGGGGAGAAGCAGCTTCTCCTATCTCAGGTGCTCTAGCATCTTCCCCCTCCACAGTAGCACCTTACAACCCCACTCACTCAACACTGGTCTCCTCGGCTGAAAGGTTAGGTTTCCAGCCAGCCCTGTCTCCTATCTCTTCTACACCCTGGAGCAGAATCTGGGACACACACACACACAGCCCCATAGATGGGTTCCTTGGATGAGGACAAGACAAGGCAGTAAAATCAAATCCCCAAGACTTTCTAGGGTGAGAGAAGTCTCTACCTAAATTGAGGTGGTGGATATATACGAATGTGCTGTGAAACCTCATCAAGACTTCCAGTGACCTCCTGTGGGGAGACCCTAGTGAGGCTGCCCTTCCTCCCCACCACGGCTCATCCCCCTCAAGGCCCCTCCAAATAAGCAGGTGATACAACGTAAAACATGTTTGTTGGGGCAACAGGCCAAACAGCCAGGCTCCCTCTGGGATGGAAGTTCTCTAGCAACTGCCGCTGCCCCGTGGGGTGGAAGAGGATGAGATACCGTGTGGCTCTTACTCCTGAGACTCTGCAGCAGGTTCTGAGATCCTTGCTGCCCTTCTCCTCTAGCCATATTCCTGCCTCTCATCTAATTCCCCACTCCTGTGCCCTGGGCGAGACGCCAACCTCTTGTCTTTTCCCCATGGACCCTTACACAAACCTCTCAAAAGAAGGGTCACTGCCCTTCAGGCCTGTCTGAGCCAGGCCCTGCCTAGAACGACGGACTCATAGGCTAACAGAGTCATCAGGACCTCCCCACTCTGTAGGACTGGACCAGCAGCCTCAGCACCTCCTAATGCTTGTCAAAAACTCAGAATCTTAGGTGGCCCCTGAGACCAACTGTGTCAGAATCTGCCTTGCAACTAGATCCCCAGGTAATTTCCTATACGCACAGGAAAATTCCAAAAGCATTGCTCTAGGCTAGTCCATCACTGAGCCTACTACCTACCAAAAGTAGACATGGACACTGAAGCCCTGAGAGTATGGGGACTTTCTCGGGACACATGGTGAGTCAACAGCAAAGCTGGGACAGACCCACAGCCCTGGCTGAACTGGTCCCCCTACCCACACTTCTTTTCCCTCCACTGTCTTCCCAAAGCAGATAACCACAGGGTTATCCAAAGTAGATAACCCTGGGGTCCAGTGCTAGGGAGATGGACACACACAGTGGGGACACCCAGGGAGGGGCAGGGGTGCTCAGAGTCCTTTCACAGGACCCTCTCTAACACACCCCTACCAAAGCCCCTAGTTCTACTCTTACCATGCCAAACTGTGGCCACCAGCAGGACCAGCAGAGCCCCTGACTCCATGGCCTCCATGGGGAAGTGGCTGGAGGGTGGGCAGAGCGCTGGGCTCCCAGCTTCTGGTTCCACTGGACACACGTTCCTCTCGCTGCACTTGCTGTTGGTCTTCTTTTCCTCTTCCTCCTCCTCCTTGGGCTTATCCTCTTCTTCCCCTTTTAACTAGGCAAGGCAACCACAGAGTTTGGAAATCTTGGGTCTCTAGAAGAAACAAAGCCATGACCCCCTCCCCCAGGGGAGGGGGCAGAGCATGGGGCAGAGTCAGACTGATCCTGGAGGGAACTGGCTGATTTGGGGGACCTTCTGAAGCCACCTCTAAGGGCCCCCAGGAAAAAATTATGCCTAAGAGCAGGCAGCCAGTCAGTCAGTAGCACAAATGGGGGTCACTCCCAAGTGACCAGGTGACTCTGACTGAGCCAGGAGAAAAGTTAGGTTGTCTGGGAGAGTTTGATAATAACAGTGAGACACTTACCCAGTCAAGCGCTTTATATTCACTGTCTGCTTTAGTTCCCACAAGACTTCATGTGGCAGTGCGAAATTGTAACAAGGGTATAGAGGCTGCTTTTGCTAAAGACTAAACAAAAACAAAAAACCCGGCTCTTCACTTGGGCCTCCAGATGTCCAACGGGTAACATAAAGTAGGATAAAAGTTTGCTAGCTCTGTCTTCATTTTGTGTCAGCCTTCTTTGTCTTGAAAGTTTGGGTCAGATCCTTGCTCAGCTCCACACTTAGGTATGCTAGTCACCCAAGGAGTGTCTGTTAAAAACTGGTAATACAAGGTTGATTAGCCCTAGGTTCTGACCTCTCTCCTCCCCCTCCAAGGCTGAAAGCATCAAGATAACAGTAAGGTATTTTGCTTTTACAACATCCTGTTCCATACATAGAGAAGCACCTGAAAGTCTCCTGATCATTGTCCTAAACCTGAAGTCACCTTGGATTCTAGGAACAGGTACCCCACAGAGGGAGCAATCACTCTGTGATGGGAACTGAGAATGCCCCCCTAAGTAGGAAGGATGTCTCACACAGGAATCAAATTGCCCCCTCAAGCAATGACAGTAGTGATATCTTCTCTGGAGCTACCTCGGAGAACCAGACTGAGATAACGATCAGCCACTCCATAGTTTGACCAAGACTGCTTCATACACACACCTCTCCTCTCCTGCTTTAATTCTTCCTCTATTTAAATCCAAAGCTCAGGTCAGAACTCCCAGAAGACAGGGCAGAAGACACTCCATCCCCCTGGACGGCCTAATGCTTACATTGAATCAGTTCCTTTCCTGACTTTTACCACTACCTTTTTCATCTGAGTACTCATGCAAGTGGCTGGACCTGATTTGTTGGGACTCCCAGCAGTTAGGTGTCCCGTGGGCCGAGGACTCTGGTAACAATATTGTGAAACATATTTGTCGTCATCCCTGTTTCTTGGCAGTCAACTCCTAAAATCCTTAAGTCTTCAAAATGGTGAAGTGTCCTTTTGTAAACTGAGACTGGTCACCAGAAAGACAAGGCAAGATTAGAAAGTAAGAGTTTTCAGCCCCACCCAAACAGGTGGAGGTTCCTGGAGGCTGGCATGACCTCTGCCTCCATACCTTGCACCTTCCTCTGGTGGTTACTGGTGTCCTTTGTCATCTCCTCTATTAACAAACCAATAAATAAATGTAAGCATTTCCTTGAGTCTTGGAGGCTGCTCTAGCAAATTAATCAAATCTGAAGAGGAGGATCAAGAGCACAGCTAAAAGCTCCAGGAGTTTAGGATTGAGCCTTTAACCTCTGGGGTCTGATTCAGCTCCAGGTACACAGTGTCACAATTAAAGTGAATAAGAAGACACCCACATGGTATCTGCTGTAGAATTAATTGCTCCTTGAGAATTTGAGGAACATCCCCTCAACCCCCTCGCGCACATACATTTGGTCACAGATGTCTTCTGTGTTGATTACAGAGATAGGTACTATTGTTACTCTCACTTTGCAGTGGGAAAAACTGAAGCCCAAGACTCAGCGAAACACCTTGAACTTATCCATGATCTCACAGCTATCAAATGGTGAGAGGAGGACACAGACACAGATAGCAAGTTTATAGAACTGTCTTTTGTAGATTAACTGATTTATTTTTTACAAGGTGTTTAACTGTTCTGCTGTAATTTCTTTTTTAAAAATAGCATTCCCTTGCCCCATCTTTTCAGAAGGCAATTGCCTTTTTATTGTTGAGTTGATTCTCTTAGTATTTTCCTTCTTTTTTCAGTAGTGTGATTGTAAAGTTACTCTTTGAAACAGAAAAAAAACTCAATATAACATTAATACAGGAAAACGATCATTCTTCTCTTGTACTCAGGTGTGTGTATATGTATGCATATACTTTTTTTTTCCCAAGAAAATGTTTTGAACCTTCAACAATTGTGAATGCCAACCAAAACTTACTCAAGAAGAGACAGAAAATCTGAACAGACCATACAAGTAAAGATGTTTAATCAGTAATCAAGTACCTCCCAACAAGGAAGAGCCCAGACCCAGCAGACCCAGCTGTCCTCACTGCTGAATTCTACCAAACATTTAAAGAAGAATTTACACCAATCCTTCTCCAACTCCTCCAAAGAAAATAGAAGACAAGGAATCAATTCCTAATTCATTCTATGAGGCCAGCATTATCCTGATACCAAAACAAAGACTTGCAAAAAAAGAAAACTATAGTTCAGTATAGATGCATGAATTTACATCTAAGAATCCTCAACAAAATACTAGCAAACCAAATCCAAATAACATATTAAAAGTATTACACACATACAGGCTGGGAGTCAGCTCAAGTGGTGGAGTGCCTGCCTAGCAGTGCAATCCCCTGAGTTCAAACTCCAGTACCACAAAACAACAACAAAAAATCCCTGCAAAGTGTTACACCAATTATACACCATGACCTAGTGGGACTTATCCCAGAATGCAAAGGTGGTCCAACATATAAAACTCAATGTAACATGTCACATAAAATGAAAAAAGTCCCACACGATCATTTCAATTGATGCAGAAAGAGCCTTTAACAAAATCCAACATACTTTCATGATTTAAAAAAAATTCAACAAACTATGGGTGAAAGGGAACACCCTCAACATGATCGAGGGATTTATGAGAAAGCACAGCCAAATTGATGGTCAAAGTCTGAAAGCTTGTCTTCTTAGGTCACGGATACCAGGTCTCACCATTTCACTTCTATTCAACATATTGGAAGTTCTAGCTAGAGCAATCAGGAAATAAAAGAAATAAAGTACATTTAAGTTAAAAATTAAGGAGTAAAATTGTCTACAGATGACACGATCCTAGATATAGAAAAATCCTAAAGAAGCCACAAAGTAAAACACTAGCGATAATAAATGAACCAAGCAAGTTGCAGAACCCAAGATCAACACTCAAAACTCAAGCTACGTTTATACATTAGCAATAACCCCAAAAAGGAAATTGGGAAAAAAATCTTTTGTAGTAGCATCAAAAAGAATAAAATACTCGGGGAATAAATTTAACCAAGGAGGTATGAGACTTATACACTGAAACACACAAAAACATGCCTGAAAGAAATTAAGAATACCTTAATCAATGAAAAGATACCTTATTTTCATAAGTTGGAAGATTTAATATTGTTAAGGTGACAGTACCGATTCAAAGTGATCTATAGATTAAATGAGACCCCTATCAAAATTCTACCAGTCATTTTTTTTTTTGCTGAAATAGAAAAGCTGGTTATGAAATTTCTATGGAATTGCAAGAATCATTGAATAATCAAAACAATCTTGAAAAAGAAGAACAAAGTTGGAGGTGTCACACTTCCCAATTTCAAAACTTACTACAAAGCTACAGAAATAGTATACGAATATATAGAAAAATGGACTCAAAGTGAGAGTCAAGAAGGAAACCCTTACAACTGTGGTCAATTGAAACTGAGCAAGGGTGGTGAGCCCATTCAGTGGGGAAAGTGCTTCTTTCTACAAAATGTATTACGTCAACAGCAGATCCATATTCAGAACAGTGAAGCTGGACCCTTAACTTACACCATGTACAAAATTCACTCAAAATGAGAACAAAATGTGAACATTAAAACCACAAAACTCATAAAATAAAACACAGGAGTCATTCATGTTCATGACTTTGAACTAAGAAATTATTTCTTAGCTATGTCACCAAAATCACAACCAACCAAAGAAAAACTAGATAAATTGAACTTTATCAAAATTAAGTATGCTTGTATATCAAAGGACACTGCCAAGAGAATGAAAAGGAAAGATAACCCAGAGAATGGAGAAAAATCCTTACAAGCCATACAAGTAATAAGTTATGTATTCAGAATAAAAAGCTATATTTGAGTGCAAATTGCAGCATTTCCTACAACTCAACAACAAAGCAAAAACAACTCAGTTTAAACATGGGCAAAAACATTAGATGTTTCTCCAGAGAAGATATACACATGACCAAAAATCACACAGAAAGATACTCCACACCATTGGTCATCAGAGAAGTGTAAACCCAAACCATGTTGAGATATCATGTCACGTTTACTTGGTTGGATGTTATTTAAAGAAATCAGAAAATAGCAAGTATTGGTGGAGATGTAGGCAAATTGTAACTTTGTACATTGCTGGCAGAAATTGAAATGTTGCAGCTGCTATGGTAATCAATTTGGTAGTTCCTCAAAAAGTTAAACATGGAATTACCATATAACCCAGCAATTCTACTCCTAGATAGAACCAAAAGAATTCAAAACAGGAACACAAACAAATACTTGCCCATGAATGTAAATGCAGCCCTATTCACAATAGCCAAAAGATGGAAACAGTTGAGAAATGGATAAAAAAACTGGGATAGCCATTCAATGGAATATTATTCAGTTAGGAAAACGAATGGAGCGCCAATACCAGCTACAAAGTGGATAAACCTTGAAAACACTGTGCTCAGTGCAAGAAGCCAGTCACAGAACAGCAGACACTGTATGACCCCATTTATATGAAACACTCAGACCAGGTAAACACACAGGGACAGATAACAGATGAGGCCCAGCCAGGGCTGTGGGAATGAGGAAATAGGAAATGACTCCTTAATGGGTATGAGGATTTCTTTAAGGGTGAGGAAAATGTC